CGCCACCGCGGCAGGGGCCGCCAGTACTCCGTGGACCTGCCACTCCAGCCAGCTCAGCGCACAGCTCTCAGGGGTACCGGGAAGACAGCACAGCCTACGCCGGTGGAAAGCTGCTGGGTGGGCCCAGATGGGTTGTGGACAGCAGGGGTGGCCGCTGGCTCTCAGTCCCTCCTTCGCCTGCTTCTGAGATCAAATTTGGGATTTCTACTTCAGGAGATTTCTACACACCAACCCCCTTCATTAACCTGGAGGGCTGGGGAGAGGTCCTGGCACCCAGCATGCTGTGACTGGGGCTGAACTTTGAGAACACAGCTGTTGTCTGCTACCCAAGGGGTAACAGAATGGGGGGAGTAGCCCCGAAGAGGCCTAAAGGCACTCCGTGAGGATTTCCCCACGCCCCAAGAGGGGGGGGCTAAGGACTCTGGGCCATGCCTCCACTGCCACTGGAGCGGGACCCCCGGCAGCAGCCTGGTGTCTCCTTGCTGGTGCGCTACTTCATGATCCCCTGCAACGTCTGCCTGATCCTGCTGGCCACATCCACACTTGGCTTTGCGGTGCTGCTTTTCCTCAACAACTGTACGTGGCCGCTGGGGATGGCCACTCCCGGTTAGGCCCAAGTGGCCCTGCTTCTGTCAGCCAAACCCCCCATCTCAGCTGCCAAGGGTTAGACGGCAGGCAGGGTCACATGATATGGCTCAGATGGGCTATCTGCATCTTCTGGGGACAGAATGGGTCTCTGCAGGGCCTCTGAGCCCTATCCTTGAGCTGTTGGTGGAGCTGATCCTCCTGAATTACAGAAACAACTTTTTGTGGAATTTTGGGAAGGTAGCAGGCAGCTGATGCTACTGGGAATGGAGCAGTGGGAGTAGGGCTAGGGTCTGGAGCTGGATTCACCTCGAGAAGCAGGTGGTAACTTGCACCCCTGCTGCTGGGCCCCCCAAACAAGTGTCTGGCATGACCATGTAGCTAGGGGCAGAGAAAACCAGAACATCTGCTTTTGTCCACTCTAAAACCTCAGCCAGTCAGTGGGGGTCAGAGCTGAACACCTCAGTTTCCCTGCCTCCCCAGCCTGGGTCTCTGTAACTGGGGCTGGGGAAGAAGTGTGCTGGGCACACCTCCAGGCTGGATAAAGGGGTGGGCTGTGGAAGGACCTGCTCAGAGAGAACTGACTTGGAGATTTATTGTTTTCCAGACAAACCTGGGACCCACTTCACACCAGCCCCTCCGACGCCTCCTGATGGTGAGTGGGGCTACAGGGGTGATCAGCTGAGCCTGGGGGTGCCCAGATGTACAGTGGCACTGTTAGGGCTAGCGGCTATTTTGGGGTGTGCACACCAGATGTGTTAGGTGTGTCTGGAGGAGGGAGGAAGCTGGACAAGGGACCCTGGGTCCTTCCTGAGGAGTTCTTCATGGTGGGCATCAGGAAAGTTTGGGGTCCAGGGTCTCAGGACTTGCCCTTCTTGGCTGCCGGCCAGTGCACCGACTAACTTCTCTGGGCCTCAGCCTCAGTGTTGGGAAATCCTGGAACCTACAAGTTGAGAGATGATGTCAGACAATGCATGTGGCAGGAGGAGGTCTTGGGAACTGGAGGCAGTGGAATCAGTCTGGTGGGGGGGGCCTTCCTTTCCTTTGTCCTTCTCTTCCTCTGATCAGAAGCGGGTGGGGTTGGACAGAGGCTGGAGGCGATATAAGCTCAGGAGAGACCCAGCTGGGGGAGGGCCTCAGCAAGACCAGCGACAGCTGTCTGGGGAGGGGCCTGGAGGGCCTCAGGTCTGTGGGGTGGGAAAGGCATGAGTGATGGGGGGCTGACCTTTTTGACCTGCTTTGTGGGATGGGACCCACCTCCCGGAGGGGCTGCTGGTGTGTGGGCTGCTATAATTAAGCTAATGTGAGGGAAA